GCTCCAGGTCGAGCTGTTGTTCAGCATCTTAGCTGTAGAGGGCAGTGTCACTGGCCCTCATATGTGGGATCCGAACCGGGGCCCTCTGGCATTCCCAGCCAGTTCTTAACCAATGCACCACTCGGCCAGCCCCGGCCCAATATTTTTAATTCTTGCTAGCAACCTATGTATGAAGGGAGAAGAAATGGGGGTGATGATATATGTAATAAAAATCATAGTTAACATTCATTCAGCACTTACCTTATGTTGGGCCTGACATTAAGTAGTTGCTTATTATCTTAACTGCCCATGTGAAGGACGATGCTAGATACCATAGTAACCACAAACATGGACTCCTCCCTGAAGGAGTTTACAATCCAGTAAAGTGTGAGATAAGTGCTATAACAGATGTAGACAATGGTACAAGAGAGAAGAGTAACAGGTGGGTCACTTCTTCCATGCTTTGATCCTGTTTCTCAACACTCTAGCTTAGAAAGTAAGTAGCTTTTGAACTGTTTTGGACAAATTGAGTTCAAAGTGTGGGCTGGACAGCTCTGTGCAACTTTCATCAGGCAATTAGAAAGGAACACGAGATGAAGGCCAGATTTAGGAGCCAGCCAGTTTATCAGAGTCCCTGTAATCTACTAGGCTCCAGACTGAGCACTGGGGGCTACAGAGTAAGCGGGTCACTGACTCTGCCCTCCAGAAACGTACATTTGAAATCTTGTCAGCTATGGGCAGGATAATTCAGTTCATACTTTGAGGGCCTACTGAGTGCCACAAGGAACAGATGTAGCTGGGAGAATGAATGAAATTACTGAGGGAGAACTCTAATAGAGCAAAGAACATACTCTGGGAGAACACCTTTTCACTCAGGTTTGGTTTGTCAGTAGGGAATCCTGACAAATCCTGGGCTTCGCAGTCAGACTCATCTGGGTTTAAACTTTTACCAATTATGTGTCCTTGGGCAATTCATGTCAAGTCTCAAAGTCCAAATTTCCTGTTTGTAAAATGGTGAAACTAAGTGGAATCTATGATATGGCACTGTGAGGATTCAGTGAGAAAATACGCATAGTGTTTTATACTCGTATCGCGCCTGGCATAGAGCAAGTGCATGGAAAATGGTGATTTATTACTGTTTAGGTTAGGCACGTATTGGCAATAACTAGTTTTTCTCTATTAGAAACACAACTAGAAAGTAGCAGACCTGGGAGTCAAAATTAGGTAATCTAACTCCAGAGCTAGTCAAGTTCCAGTCTAGCACTTGGCCTAGACCGAGTTCTGTTCCTGGCACGTAGCTTTTATTTTTTCATGTGCTCCATTGGTATTGCACACATAAAAATTGTACTATTCTGGAAAGACCGGCACTACATTTTCTGCCAAGATAACAGTCTCATGAGATTTTTGGTTCAAATAATATCCTGGTCTTAGCTAAGAGAGGAGCCAGGTTTTACAGCCACGTGGGAGTGGGGAGGCCTGCGCTGCTTCAACCGCCAGGAGGCGCTGTTCATGGTTGCGGCCGCAGAGGGTTGCACCGCCCACTCGTCACCCCCCCCGTGGGTCCGAATGGTTAGGCCCGCGGGGCAGGTAGCGCGCTTCCGCGGCTTCCCTCCACCCCTTTCCCTTCCCCCATTGGTAGGGGCTGCGGGTCCGGGCGGAAGTGGGGCAGGCGGGCGAGAACGAGGCGTCGCCGTTGTATATTCATGAGGCGCGCGCAGCCCGGCATGCTAATGAGGCGGGGCGCGGCGGCGGGCTAAGTAGGTGTTGGGCGGCGGCGACGGAGGCAGCGGTAGCCGGCTTGGATCTGCCGGGCGGCAGCTGTGTAGGCGCGGGGTCACCAGCTAGCGCGAACCTGGATATGGAGCCGCCCGGCGGGGGCCCGGGGCCCGGCCGTGGGACCCGGGATAAGAAGAAGGGCCGGAGCCCGGAGGAGCTGCCTGCGGCGGGCGGCGACGGCGGCAAATCCAAGAAATTTGTGAGTGTCCTTCCCACCCGGTTCCGTCAGCCCAGCCGGGTAACCGCCTTCTGGACCCCGGAGATCCCCTCAGCGGGCCCCAGAGGTGCACGCCTGTCTCTCGGGAGCCGCCCCCGCGCCTCCCTTCCCCGTTTTGCTGGGTCCTGGACTCCACAGCCTAACACCCTGTCCCTCCAGGATCCCGGGGAGCCCGGGAGTCCCACCCGGTTCTTGCCCCGGCAACCTTGGGGCTTCCTTTATCCCCCAGCCCGCACGCTCTGCCCTCCGCCCCCATAGCCCGGGCGGGTCTCAGCCCCATCTCTTTGCTCTCAGCCCCACTTCCTTTCTTCTTCCTCTGTTACCCGAACACGCCTTCTCTATCTCGGTCCTCTCTGCTTTTCTGAGTCCATTTTCTCCTATTACCCTTCCTTCCTCCCCCCCCCCTTTTTTTTTTTGGTATCTTCTTATTTGCTTCTCCTAAAGGTCACTTCCTTCCCCAAGATTGATCGCTTTCACCTGCTAACTTTCCNCAGGAGCTGTAGCCTACACCGTCGCCAGCGACTCACTGCAGCCCAGCTCCAGGCTGAGCTGTTGTTCATCATCTTAGCTGTAGAGGGCAGTGTCACTGGCCCTTATATGTGGGATCCGAACCGGGGCCCTCTGGCGTCCCAAACCAGTTCTTAACTATCGCGCCAGTCGGCCGGCCCTCAGGGATTCCTTTTTAACCCGTCATCTCCTTCTCAACTTCTCCAAGTCTCTGAGGCTTGACTTCTGGAAATTGATTTCCCTTTTGGCAAAGTTTGCCTTTTTCATCTATAGTTTCAGGCTGATATCTGGGCCTGGTCTCTGCATTGTATCATCCCCTCTCAACAGCCAGCAGAAGCCGCAGGCCTTCCACTGAGCTCTTATTCTTTGATGCCTGCATCTCTAGCTTGCATATCATTTGCAGAGTAGTAATAATAAGAGTTACTACTTGTTGTGGGTTTGCCAAGCACCAGACTCAATACTAAGTGCTTTATATAAAAACATACATATCGTCATGTTATTCTGTTGCCATCAGACAATTCTAATTGTCTGTTATCCTTTTGTAGCTGTTATCCTTAAATTACCAGAGGAGGATTCTAAGGCTCAGAGTGGTTAAATAACTTTCTGAAGGTCCCACAGCTAGTTAAATATTAGGGCTGACATTCAGACTTGAGTCTGTGACCCCACACCTTGAACCCTGTGCACATAGCGGTAACTGAGACATTGCTTAGCAGGCAAATAGGGCTTTTCCTGACTTAGTTTCCCAGATTCTCTTTGGTGACTTTTTCCCTTCTTTTTCAGTTATCAACTGTGGGCCAGATAATTCAGTTATTCATATTCTCCCAGAGAATAGTTTTCCAAAAGAAAGAAACCAGTATTGAATACTTATTGGGTACTATGTTGCTTTCACATCCCTTCCCTCACTACAAGTTTATAATATCATGTCACTCCTCTGCTTAAAACTCTCTATTACACTGAGAAGAAAATCCAAATTTCTGACCATGGCTTTAAAAGGTTCTGCATACTGGCCCTTACCTACATCCTTGGTCTCATTCCTAATAACTGTCCTCCCTACACACCACGCCCAGCCATCCTGGCCTCCGTGCTCTTGCTGGAATACATCAGTCTCCTTCCATCTTATAACTTCTGTAGTTGTTTTTTTTTGCAGGTCAGAATGGTTTTCCTGAGATCTTTGCCTGCCCAGCTCCGTCTCACACTTCAGATCTTACTTTCTTAGAAACATCTTTCCCTAATAATCCTGTCTGAAATTTTACCCATTTCCTCTCATCACTCTGTCACACCTCCCTTTATTTCATTTTATTCATAGCACTTTCCATCATCTGAAATTCCATATTTATTTATTTACCTAAATAGTTATTGTTAATCTCAATTATTAAGTAAGTTTTTGAGGATTGGCAGAAATTTTGTCTGACTTACTCTCTGCCATATTGCTAAGGCTTGTGACAGTGTCTGGCACAGAGGAGTCTCTCAATAAATGTTTACTGACTACATGAATGGATGAATGACTAGTGATCAGTCTCTACCAACAGAAGGAGATGAGTGGTTCCCTGACAATGGGGGCCTGAGAAGTTGCTCCAGAGAGGGTGCCTATGTGGGAGAAGATTGGAACTTGGAGAATGGGACGTTCACCTCTTTCCCCTTGCTTTGCAGGCCAGAGGCACCCAATGAGTTCTATGATGGAGACCATGACAACGACAAGGAAAGTGATGTGGAGATTTAAGAACAGCTGGGCTTGCTGTTTCCCAAGGAATTCCTTTTTACCTCTCGGTTGGGTGGGAGGGAAAAGGTGTGGGTCCCCCAGACCTGGACTGGTCACCTACAGAGGTTTTACCAATACTGGGAGACCACATCTGCTTCTTAAACCAACTATCCTCTTTCTTCTCCCTTCCAAGGCCTGACAATGGTACCTATTTGGGATTGGATGGGGACAAGAATAGCTATCTCTAGGACATCTTGGGCAGTAAGCCCTAGATGCCAGTCCCAGCCCCTCCGGCCCTCTTATTCCTTCCTGCTTCCCTCCAACCCAGATACTTTTAGAGATGAAAGGGTAATCAGGACTGAGGTTGCCTCTGACTTTCTTCCCTGCTGGGTTCTCCCACTGCAGGCCTTGCTTCCAGTGCAGGTGAAGAGTGAAGGATTTTAGGGGGCTCTGACTCCCTAACATTTTAACCCCAGATGATGGGAATTACGGTTTTGAGTTGGGGAAGGATGTGAAAATATGCTGTTCTAACTTTTGGCTTTATGTCCATTTTACCACTGTTTTTATCCAATAAACCAAGTTGGTATTTTTTGTACCTTTTGCCTTTCTGGGAATATTTTTTAATTCTTTTTTTTTTTTTTT